CGACAAACACTCAACGTGGTAATAATATTGTGATATGTGATCATGGGGCACAGGTGCATCCTTCCTTCACTGGAAAAGCTCATTTGGACTGAACTCTTCTGCTTTCTGCCAGTCCAACCTCATGTCAGTTTATGGCTGTTTGATATCTGAATGATGAAAGTTGTGTACATTAAATATCAGTATTGTGATGTTGGAGTAAAGATCTGGGAATTTGATAATCATCACTTTATGACATTGTTTGAATCAGGGTTTTCCTCGTCTTCAGTCTGCGTGATAGTTGAGTGACATGAACTACAAAGGCCTCAGTCTGATTTTCTATCACATGTTAATGTCTATTAATACCTTCTGACAACACCGAGAGTCTTGCCTTGTCTCAGAGGAAATGAAGTGTGCTCTGACCTGTCGCTGCCTATCCCAAGCCTGCAGGATTTTCTTCCGCAGCCACTGACATCTTGCAGTCACTATGGCAATATGCCCCAAGACTCTCTCCTCCCTCTGTAAACAACAAAAGAAAAAGGAGTCAAACAGGCTTAGAAAGCATCCGAGTAGGGTGATGTAAATGTCACCGTGTCATTTTAATCAGCAATTTAGCGGCTTAGCCTCCGAGTATCACAAACCCACCTCGCCCAGAATAAACTCCACGTCACAAAACTGACGATTCTCAAAAAGTTTGCCGTAGTCCTCGTGGAGAGTGCACTGTGGGTAGCAGGAAAACTGCAAGTGGGAAAAAAAGGTATATTTTCAAGAGCTACATAACTTTTAGAGTTACTCTCAAAAACAAGCGTGACAGTTTGCTTTAGACAGGAAAGACTTTCGACCACAGTGTCCAAATGATGCAAAATGTTTCGAGCAAGTGCTTTTATATTTCAACAAGGAATTAGTTTGACACTAACCTGGAATCTGTACATCTCTCCACTGCGCACATTGTTGTCCACAGTTCCTCCAAAGATATACATGGCATCTTGAATCACAGCAGCAGCATGGAAGAGTCTCCCACTGGGCATCTGAGGGGGGGGCAAGGAAGGGGAAAGTAATAATTAAGCTTGTCACATATTTGTCACATCATTCAAACACTTCTATCGTCTGTTGACACAGCCCTTTGTAAATCCATTTGATTCATACCTCACTGTCCATGCTGGGATGGATCACCTCCCAGCTCTGAGAGTCCACATCGTAGCAGTGCAGTTCGTTGGGCAGAGTGTTGTCAGCCGCACCTCCAAATACATACAGGTGACGGTCAAAGGCAACCATCGTGTGCCCGTAACGTCTCTGGGGAGGTGGAGGGGAGCCCCGCAGTAAGTGTTCGGTCGGGATGCGTGTCCACCTGAGAAGGAGGAGTAAAGATTGGTCCCATGTAACACTGGCAACTACAGGATGAGTGACTGAGGTAAGCCATGGGCTCAAAATGTTGTACTCACATGTGGCCCTTGAACTCAAACTGGAAGAGGTTGTTGGTGATTTTGGCTCCACTCTGACCAGAAAACACAAACATCTTGTTCCTGCATACGGCTACGGGGAAGTTGCAGCAAGATGGAGGAATCTCACCACTCTGATCGATCTGATGGAGACAAAGACAGAAACGGGGACGTTAACACATACAGTACAGTGTTGGTGAGCGTTGTACTCTCAATGTGTCTCTGGTTATAGTTATTGAAATGTATTATACTGGCCTCTTCCCAACACGCATGTTCTCGATCTTGCAGATTGATGGTCCACATGTCATTCAGCCTGCACATGGGGGGAAATATCTGTCAATATTATATGCAAAACACAAAGTGTCACTTGTGACAAAAGCAAATAAAAAGTGAAACATACCTGGCATTCCCATCATAGCCAGCAAATATCCACAGTTTATCACTATAGACCGTGGCCCCATGTGCAGACCGAGCCACTGGCAAGCTGGAACAGAGACAAGGAGGTGGATTTTAACTGATCTCCACATAGATGTTATGCCCCCATCATGCATCCCAAAATAACTGTGTTTCCATGTGAAAGAAGAAAACATTATTCCCTGCTATTTAAAGTTAACAAGAAAAAAACAACCACAGGGGAAAACTGAAAATCTGCTGCTGGTTATGTGCCATTTCATGAAAGTTTTTCACTATTTAAAAAAAAAAAAAAAAACACCAATAAATGTAAGGTTTGCTTAAGAAAAAAGCTAAAATAATTATCCACAGATTGGCTGTAAAAGATTACATAAAAATCTATCCTAGAACATGCATCTTTAAAACACTTTACCTCCCCTCCACTTTCCATTCAGTCCACTGCCCTGTAGCAAACTTGTACTCAAAAAGGTCATTTTTGTTTTTCAGGTTTGAGTTGGAGTAGATGTCTCCAGTGTAGCCCCCTGAAAAAGATCAAAGTCCACCATAATAGCATCAATATCACGTTAGTTTAAAGTGTAGCATGAATGAAGTGTGATTATGAGGAACATAAGCTTGTAAAAAGTTACCAAAAACAAACATGCTGCTGCCATAGACCACAGCAGAGTGATGATATCTGGGAGCAGGTGGAGTTCCAGTGGTGAAGGCTCTGTAGTAAATATCACACAAAGGCAATAAATCACATTTCACAGTCTGGAACTCATTTATTTGCTTATTTTAATGTGGAATCGTGCCTCACTGCAAACTTACCGACACCACGAGCAGTCCTTCACATCAAAACGGAGCAAGTCGTTCAACATGTTCTTTCTATTGGGTGACAGAACATGTAAAATGCATTTCATGTGGTGGACAATAAGACTGAAGCAGACAAAGCCACCAGTACTACTCACCCATTGTCTCCCCCAAATACGTAAATGGCATCTCTGTACGCCACAACAGTGTGCTTACTGCGCCTAATCAGAGCAAATGAAGTGGTGGATGAATAAAAGGCTGTACATATGCAGATTAAGCCGGTGGAAGTCAGTTAAACTGCACCTACTCATCTGTCAACATGTTACCTTGCACCAACAAACTCATCACACGGAGGGAGTCTTCTCCAGCGATGAACGGGCTCGTATGGGCCAAAGTTTAGCGTCAAATATTCCACGCTGTCGGAGCAACTGTGGTCAAAATCAACACTCGGGGCCACTTTGGTTGATTTTAAGGACATTGTTGCTAACTCATCCAGCTGAATCACTTCTCAGGGCCCCTCGTCTGCAGACACGTCCACGGCCAACGCCATCGTTAAAAGCCAGTTAGCTGTGTGGCGCTGGTATTACCCTTTAGATGAAACTGAAGTCCGCTTTATTCACGTTAAAGGAGTATGGTCTTCTATGCTAAGAGTTAGCTACTCGCGATGCTAAAAACTAAAGTTAGCAGCATAGCTCACACTGGCTAGCTAGCCATCTAGCTATGTGCTAAGCTGCAAAACAAGCAACAGTTATAGCGAATTAACCGTCAACGGGTAGCTACCAACGTTACACACAAATATCGTATCCGGTTCAATACTTCAGTTAAGTCAGTATGCATACGAAGTGAATGAGTCCGCAACAAGGCACCAGCCACACAAGCTAACGTTTCACTAGCAAAACAAGAGTGCTGTCATGAAGTCGACCAACCACGCCCCCGAGCGCGAGACTAGTGAGTACTTCACTTCCTGTAAAAAAAATCGAAAACAAAACACATTTAACCCTCAAAAGGCCGAATACAAAGTGTACCGTTACGTATAACAGTTTAAAACAAATGTCAGTAGGCCTTAATAAAGGGTCATAAAGTTTACAACTAATAAACCATTTATAAAGGATGCTTTATTAGCTGTTGATACATTCATGCTACTAAATGTAGCTACTATTCTATCTTTAGATATTTTAACTATTTATTATGGCCTATCTTCATAGTTGATTTGATCTCGGACATAGTTAATGCATACAGTATATTTGTGTGTGTACATGTTTAATGTAAATCTAGATGTATATGAGAGATATCATATGATGTATTATATCAACATCAGTAGAATCAGTTTCAAATTAAAAAGAAAAAATATTGAGCCACTCAAAATGTCTGCATGTCCCTGATTAGGAGTGTTTTGCAGGTGAAGAGGATTGTTAACTTTCTGACTCCTCTCCAAGCACACAATATTTCTCTTATTTGTGAGCAACGCATGTTTTACTGAGCAGACTAAAGCTCATGGCAGACAGAAAGCTGATACACTTAAAGAAAACAATGTCATCTGAGATTGAAGTCATTGTGTGTTCCCTCATTCTTGTTTCTGTAGTTGTACTGTTGTCTCTTGTTGTCTCTCTTTAAGAATGTAAATAGACCTTATTCACAGCAGACCTTTTGACATGTAATAGTACAAACAGCACAAGTGTAACTAATAACATTAATGTCTGGATGCAATTAAGCGCACCAATCCCAAATCCCTGTTACTGTACATGCTGGCTCACTGGTTTGACTCCATAGGAAATACAACTTAGCCATCGTTAACATTATTCCACCTGTGTTCTTCCTGCTTCAGTATGATCAAGTCAAAATGTCTGCTGCAAAAAATGTCCAATACACACTAATCAAAACTGCAGTGAAGATGCACAGATATTTGTATGAGAACCATTTATACATCTTTTTTCATAGAAGAAATTTTCATAGAAGAAAGTCAGAGTAGGAAAAGCACAGGTGTAAATAATCAAATTAATTATGAAAATGAATAATGACTGCTACACTGTAACAGCTTACTGGGTCACTTGAATAGAACAGAGCCTTCATTAATGTTATAAGTAACACTAGTATCATAAAAAGTCAAAATGTCTGCTGTGAAAAAGACATATTTTTGAAATCACTTATTCTGCACACACCTTCTTGGTATTTTAATGAATGCCTTGGCTCAGTCAAGCGGGCCACATAATGCGATATACAACTCTGAAATCCAGTTAGTCTTTTTTGTTCCTTCCTAATGGCCAACAATGATTTACTTTAAATATGAGATTGTTGGGATGCCATATACATTCATTTTACAATAAGCCAATAACAATATTGCTACTTAATATAAATAGAGTAATATAAGGATGAAACAGTCACCAATTGAGAGGAAGCTGTTTATGAATCACAATCATCAACATATACACAATATTACATGTCATTTTCACTTTATTTTGAGGATAAAAAGATTATCATATATTATCAGGGAAAGAAATGAAGAAATGTATGGAGGACAAAATCAGTAAATTACAGATAAATTAATCTATAACTGGATAAACAAAAAAATGAACAGAATACATATGAACACTTATTAAAAAGTAAATGAGTAATACAGTGCATTAACAGGAAACACATATATATATATATATTTCACAATTTTATTCCCATCTGTACGCTATAGTCACAAGGCTGTGTAAACACATGTAGGTGATGTTTAACACCGTTAGTCATAGTGCCTTAGACATGATTTACCTTAATTGGCTGACAGTGACTTTCTGTATTTGCTCCCCTATTATTTAAATGATGGCTGATTTTGTCCTCCATAGAGGTAAAGTGGAATATAGTTCTTACATTCACAATTTTCACATCTTTATTTTAGCCCTTAGGGAGCTTTCAGTCCCTTAAAACTTAAATGCTTGACAATGTTTAGCTTAAAGCAAGGTACCATTCTTTCCGTGTCTTCAAACAATCTTAGAAATTTGGCAGGGATGGCAGATTTGTTGTCTTTATTCCATAAAAAGCCTCATATAATTAATTAGTCCTCAACTTAATTGTTCACTCATCTGGTACATTAAAACAAGCTCAGAGTAAGAATGTGTCAAATATAGAGAACAATACTAAGCCTCGTCTGTGTGTAGTCAACTGGTTCAGTGTTTGTAGATTGTGAGGTCTACAGTATTTCATTTCTCAAGCCCCCATCAAAGACATTACAGCGCACAATCATATGAAATGCAAACAAGTCAACGTGGATGCATTTCAACAAAATGGACAGGTGATAAGATAGAAACGTGACATAAATCTTTAAACCTTTCACTTTATCAGCCACACATTCAGATTCCTCTTCTGTTATTACAGTCTGTCAGAGTTGAATTGGCCCCTGTTGCTCACATGTCTCGTCACCAGTTAATGATATCTCGGACATGGCCCCACAGCTTGGTGATCCACAGGTTAACCCCAAGCTCTGTTAAGTACTGAAGCTCTGGCGTCAACATCTTTCGGCACAACTTCCTATGTGCCTTGTCCACATTCTTCTTCAGGTTATAGCCCATGATGGACTTCTCTCCGATGGGCTGCCAGGGCTGCATGGCTGTCTCTTGGATGCTGCCGGCCTCTACAGCTCGACCCCCCTCGATGCAGATGGATGTCATCTCTGCGTTCCTTCTCCTGAGCTCTGCCACATCCTCGGCCATCCGCCTCCGTCCGTATGCATCAACTTTCTTCCAAAAGGTCTGGTTGAAATGCTGGTACAGCTTCCAGTCAACAGCGTTCCACTCAAGAGCCCTGGCCCTCAGCTCAGGTGTGAGTTTAGACACAGTGGACCCTTTGCGGGTGTTGAGCTTGAAGAAGAGCAAATCGTCCATCTCCCAGCAGAGGGCATCCTTGAGCAGGATGAGTGATTCCTCAAAGTACTCCACCAACATGACCAGTTGAAAACGGTCAGTGATGAATCTGATTCCCTCTTCTACCCGCCGATCATCCAGCTCCAGAGTGTTGTCCTGTCCAAAGTCAAAGAACAGCAGATTCTTGAGGTAGTACGCGTTGAAGCCATCTGGATCAAAGTAGTAATGGGGGTCACGTAGAAACTCAGTCAGCTTGTCATCACCTGGTATCTTCCAGGTAAAAGGCGCCAGCCGGCCAAAGTAGTGGAAGGATGACTCAAAAAGCTCTGAGGGGTCTCGCAGAATAGTGATGTAGGAAGTGTCCGTAGGGAGCAACTTGGTCACCTCGGGTGCATTGAAGCGCATGTGATTACAGATAATGTTGAAGCACATTCCAGGTCTGTAGTCTTTAACCTGGGAGCGCTGGAACAGGGACGGATAGAAGAAGTCATTTCTGCTGTCAGGGAAGGCAAATTTGAGTCGGTGCTTCTCCCCAAAGCGGAAAAGGATGTTGAGGAAGGTGCTACTGGCTGTTTTGTGGGTCTTCATGAACATGATATCCACTTTAGGAGTGCAGGTCTGGCCAGTGGTTTGTTGTGAGCTGTTTGTGATTGGTTTAGGGTGGAGCTGGGACGGACGGTGGGCACAGGAGTAAGGCACTGGCACCCTGCAGAGAGGAAAACAATCAAATGATAAGTGTGCTGATGAAATGTACTCTCACACAAAATAAAGAAAAGCAGCAAACCGTCACGGTTAGAATCAAAAAACATTCCTTGAAAAAATGACTTTTTTCAGCTCTAAATTACAGAAATTGCTGAAGCAATTTGGCACACTGTGTGTTTTACATTGTGTTTTCTACAGATCACATGTACACGTGTGTGCTGAGTCTTACTCAGGATGACTGAAGGGGATCTGCGGAGTGGAGAGGCAGTAAAGCAGGATTGTGCAGCTGGTCAGGAAGGTACCCAGAACCAGGCCTTTGCACATGGACCTCCACTGCCTCACTTGCTTGCCAGCCATGGTCCGGCAGAATAAAAGGATTACCTTAAAAACACAAAACTTCATCATCAGTATCACACTATGGCACGAATTTTCTACCAGACATTGTTTGATACTCTCAAAGTACAAGAAAACCTCAGTATTATGTTACTAAGAGGCAAGCTTTGAGGACACAACGTCCTCTTTGAATGATGTATTCACATGATGATTTGGAAATAAATTAAAGTATTAAGTGACACGTACAGATCACAATCTCTCTTCTCTGCTTTCTACTGGAGTAGACGCAATAAAATGAACGCGCAAGAAATATAAAGCAATCCAATGCAATAGCATACAATTGTAATGTAGCAGTGATGTGTTGATTCAACTATATGGTGATTTATTTGTTCTGTTATAGTGATGCCATCAGGTGGACCATGATTAAAGGTTCTCACAGGGAGGTGCATTCTCATTGTGTTTGACACAGTTTCACAGTTAGCCTCAGTTCTCTGGTCTGTCCACGTCGTAAATATTTTGAACACAGGGTGTACTTGAAGTTGTATGGTGAGCTAGAAAATGACATACTTGTGGCTTATAATGACCCAGTGTTTCTCAGCTGCCCCATTAAATAAATAATGTATTACTGTGAAAAGTGATATTGCATCCCCCCCTGCTGACTGCCGTAAGACGAGCCTCCCGCTGACCCAGCTAACAGGTAACAAAGTGAGTCTGACTACCTGGAATTGAAAGCATTATGTAAACTGATGTGACCCCAATACAGATATAGCAGTGTTTAAAGAGGTGCACTGTTTTTAGCTTTTACTGCTGAGTTTATAGTTAATAAATATCTATACAATGGACTTTAAAAAATAGTTGAAAATCAGATTTCAGTGGAAGCTTTTTTATATATATATATATATATATATATATATATATATATATAATTATTATTTTTTTTCCAGCAGATCAGTTGAGTTTTCTCCCCATTTTTCTCTTCAGCTTAATTTAGGTAACATCTTTAAAAACAGAAAGAAAATAGTCTTTGCTTCTTCAATGTTGTTTAGGTTGGATGAATTATTATGTTATACGGTACAACTAGTGGTGGAAGAAGTGTTCAGATCCTTAACTTAAATAAAAGTACCAAAACTAAAATGTTAAATTACAAAAAAGTAAGTACAGAAATGTTATCAGCCAAATGTACGTAAAGTATCAAAAATAAAAGTATTTGTTCTTCAGTAAATTACCCCTGTGACTTATTGTATATGGAGCTTCTTTTAAATACTTTATATACAGTTTGGTAGTTTAGCCCAGTGGGTCTGGCCCCTCCACAGGATCACAAGATAAATCTGAGTGGACGTGAGGAGAATAATGGGAGAGATAAAGAATTCCAATCAAACCAAATACAAGTTTGCAGTTTTTCTTATTTGTATGTTTGGAGCCAGGTGTGTTGCCTACAATCTGATATGGTGTTTGGGGGAATGTCTCTCCTTTTATTTTAGTGACAGTAACTGAAGTTACAATACTTTAGTTCATGATCATGTTTGTAAATCACACACCAGAGTTTTAATGAATCCACGAAGAATTGTAACGGTAGCCTTTTTACCTTTTGAGAAATCCAAAATGAATCCCAGCCTAGTTCGAAGTATTTAGTCCTTTATTTGGTGTCCGGTGTGTCATTTATTATTCATTTTTGGATTCAGTCCAGCTTTGGGTTGACTTGAGGTAGACGTGGCCTTCATGTTGACTAGAGTTACTATGTGCACCTTGGTCCTATGACCTGTAGAGTTACATTTTATGTTCAATCTTATCATCAGAGCATTACATAAACATTACTCTCCAAACACAGCTAAGAGCTATTTCTGCTCTTTGTCTGGACTCCATGAAGGGACTATTATGGAGGCATGTGAGAGCCCTTTCTTTCGGCCATCAGAAGCCACTCTGTTGTGAGACATTTGAGGACGAGGCTATAGTTTCAGGTGGAACAGTTCAGCCTGCAAATGAAGGAACATTTAAATGACATTATTGTCTCTCCTGCTTCAAAGGATATGCCAGCGGTAACCTTCAAACCTGAGATCATATTGGACAAACACTTGGTAGTGTTATTTTTGATATCGTTTAATCATTGTTTGCTTAAGTTTTTCATGTGACCTCAATGTGTGTCCTTGTACGATGTATAACTTCATCCATTATAATGAATTGTTCTCCAGCCTATTAATCATTAGGACTTTCTGCAGGCAGCTTTGCATGGGTGCACACCAAACTCTGATTTATTTGTTGTTCTGGTACAATAGGAACTACATCAGGAGTGATGTCATTTTACGAGTGAAGTTAGGATTATGTGTAACTGTTTTCTTTGTCTGTATTGACATCGCTGGGAAGTATCACAAGGTTTCAACTATCTCGTTTTTCTAGATCATTATCAATAAAAAAGTTGGATAGAAATGCGTAATTCAAACAAAAGACTGGAGTATTTCTTACCCTCATACATAAGTCCAAAGAGAAACTAATGGAAGTGTTTCTTGTCCAACTGCATTGTCCTCTTCCTTTGAATCCAGTCCCAGATGACTAATTAAAGTTGCTCCCCCCCCTACAGCAGTTCTTATGTCTGATCTTGACATACACATATTGTTTCAGACTCGGCACTGTCCCGCGATCCCTTCATCTCATGCACAGTGCGACGGAGCTCACTCATGTGGTTGCTGCTCCTCTTCTCCTCTTTCTGCATGAACACCTGCCGCCTCCCCCTAAACTATCAACTCCAAAAACTGATCTTGCTGAATAAAGCCCTACAGGGAGGCTCGTCGAAGCACCTGTGACGTCAGTGTCTCTGTCAGGGGGGCGTGCACTTGTCAGGGAGTATAAATTAGGAGGGGAGTGAGACGCAGAACGGGAGAGAGGCTGTATAGTCCCCATTCTGTGATTACACACAGAGGGCTATTGATTGTTGACACTTGAGTCTGAGCTGAAAGGTTGGGTGAAAATGGCATAAAAAGCACAAAGGCTCTAATTGTACCACTAGACCAAAACCACTGTCTGTATTGTCTGAAATGCTTATTAAGCAAGCGGTCTAGTCATTCTATATGAGGGATGTACACAGGACAGATATGAGTTATTTGCACGACAGATTAGACTAAACAGATACTCATATACAACCTGGATTGTCTTGTGACAATACTGTACGAGTTTTAAAATATCAAATTATTAATCCCATCTTTTTCTGTAATGTATGCATTAAAATCTATCAATAGTTTAACTCTTGTGACCTGCAAGTTATGATACAAGTTAAGGTGCCACTCTCAATACAATCTATTGTGCAAGATAGCAGACATTTCAAGAGAATGAAATGAACATTCAAGCCAGATTAACAAATCCATCTGGCTCTGCTAGGCAGGATGTAGCAATATGTGGTCAAAACGTTTCATCCATTACAGTATGTGTGAGCTGTGTCTCTCTCTCTCTCTCTGCGTTCGAGCCCCGACTCTTGGAAGGCGCTCTGGATTCGTGCTGCTCATCCCACACGCTCAGAAACGACACTGCTGCTTTTGTTGAGCAGGGTGTGCCTCAGCCCACAGGCAGCCAGAGTGCCAGGCTGAGAACCGGACTGGGCGGGCATGCGTGGAATGCAGATCAGGGTGAGAGAAGGCATGGCGCGTCACAAACTGAATGAGGCGATTGAGGAGAGCGGGGGGCATGACTGGCCTGGCCTTTGGCCCACCACGATCACAGCAGCGTCTCGAGAGGGCAGAGGGGCTTATGCTCCTTCGTCATCAACGCACACCGTCCCACATGTGGACACATCGCTCAAACCGACCCACTAACAGCACAGTGAGCTCAGCCCACTGCACATACGTGTTCTTGTGGGACAAACTGTATTTTCACATTGTTTTGAGCATCTCTTCTGATCCATACACAGCTGTGGGAAGTGACACGCAGACTCACTGCTTGCTTGATCTGTAATACGCCACCCAGGTGTGTAGTGTACTGTAACTGAGCAAGTAAGAAACCCTAATGTTGCAAGATCACAAGTAACGGGCTTAATACTTTGGGGGTTTTACTTTAATATAGACAGTTTCAAGCACAGATTATACAATAAAATGTAAGAAATATCTTGTGTAATATAGAACAGTTCATACAAACAACATAATGTCAAACTTTGACATGAATAATTACACAATTAGCATTGCCACATCCTGCATTTCAGCTTGAAATTATGCAACGGTCAATGCACATCATGGTGCATGGAACTCACCCACAGAGCTCTCTAATACACTTACAGGTTTGAGGACATGTCAACCTGTAATACTCTCTACCTCACGAATTTAAATACATAAAGTCTGTCTGACAAATGCATCATCAGACGAGTCATTTTCTGGTCTTCTTCTTCTTTGACTTCTCAGCATCATCGTGGGCCTTCCTCTTGGCAGTCAGCTTGTTCGCCTGTGAAGAGACAGTGACAGCAGAAAGCCATTTTAGAGGTCAGTGAACTCCGGGGTTATCACTGGGCTTCAACGGACTCTACACACCACCGCTATAGAATGCTGTTTAACAAGATAGAATGTCCGATACTGAAAAAGGAGCTAATGTTAAAAATGTAAGAATGTTATCTATTCAAACTGTATTATCTAAACGGGAATCCATATTCAATCAATAATAAAACAGAACAAACCTCTCGGATTTTCCTCTTCTTTCCGAACATGATCTTGTCGTAGAGGTACTTCTCCTTTTTCTTCATCATCATGATGGCCAGACGTTTCTCCTCTGCCTTCTCCTCCTGCTCCAAGCGGGCCGGGTTGTCCACCTTCACTTTACCAGCCGTCACTTTGACCGGCAGAGACTAAGAGAAAGAGAGGCGTTGATGAAAGGTTCACAAAAAACAGTTTATAAAAACAAATGGAAAAGAAAAAGGATCAAACGTGTCTTACTTTGCCCTGGGATCTTTGTTCTTCCATCTTCTTCAGATTCTTCTCCTCCACCTCTTCATCATCGTCCTCGTCTTCATTTTCTTCCTCCTCTTCATCATCATCTTCCTCTTCTTCTTCTTCCTCCTCTTCCTCCTGTTCATTGGCTGTGATGGAAGTAAAATATGAAAAATGGTCTCTGAATTATTATGCCCCCCCCCATTAGGACTTTGATATAGTAAATATATCTTTTATTATCAAAACTCTATAAATTGATGTAAAAACATCACAAATATCAAACAGAACATAACAGATTTCGCATGTATTCATCTTCTTTGATGCACCCGTGTGTAATCCAGGTGTGGCTATTGATTGAAGGTAAAATACACTTACATCCTAACTGTACTCACTGTGATTCAATGTTGTAAAACAAGAAGAAGAGTAAACGTTTCTATAAGCACACAGTTTGAAAGACGCTTGGGTTCATACCGGGTTTCTCTCCTCGCTGTAGGGCCATGATCTTTAGCTTTTCAGGGGGCACGTAGTCTCCGTCTTTCTCCTCCACGAAGGGAGAGAGGTGGGGGGGCAGAGTCACTCCAAGGAAGTAGTCCTCCACAGGCAGAAGGAGTTTGGCATTGACACAATCATACACCCACTGGGGCTGGATGTAGTACCTAAAACAAAGAGGATCATGGTAAAACAGTGCACATCTCAACACTATACATGGGCAGACATGATTGAGTTGACGTGACAATTTAAAAATGCAAAGCAGGATAAATAAAGATGACAGGGTCTGTCAATCATGGTGAAGAACAGGGCTGCTTTGAGGAAAGAGCGGAAAGACCTCTGAAAGGAAGCACTGTAGAGGAGATGGTAATACACGAGGAAAGAGAAGCACAATCAGTAGAGACTTCCTGCATTTAGGAGACAGAAGTAAACTCATCTTTATTGCATTGAGATTTGCAAAAATGCACGTTTCATTCTGTTCAACTGTTTACTAGTCCTGCATGTGCAGCATATGCAATTGTGAAACTAGGACTTTATCTGAAGGCATCACTAAGACATAATGGATCTGATAATGCAGCAATGACATTAATTGGTTTTAGTTCTGGCACTTCAGTTACATTTTTTAAATAAATATAATGGATGTCCACTGTCAGACAGTGGAAAAGTCATTTTGCTTTGCACGTGATCATAATGCATGCTGATCAGAGTTTACAACGCTAGTGTAGTAAAAATAACAGCTATGGTTCACTATATACTAGTGTCAATTCATGAATAAATTATTTGTAGATGTTGCACCTTTTACAGTATTTAAAGATGGCTAAAGACAATGAATAACAGTGGGAATAATGTATGGCTTAAATCAATTTCTATGTTTTTGTACATCCACATGTATTCGTTTGTAAATTAAATTGGTTGTATAAAATGGTGTGATGTGTTGTTCACCTTTGAAAGTCAAGAAGAACCTTGTTTTACCTGTTGATATACTGTTTGTCGATGTTGGGTCTGTCAACAATTTGATGCGTGATGGTTTCATCCGTCACCTTGTACGTGCTGCCGATGCAAACAGACTTGTCCCAGGACACTTCACCACCGAAACACCTGGAAGGCAACGCGCAGAAGATAGAAAAGCAGCTGTGCATCAGTTTGAGGTTTATACGGAAGGTGTTTTTATCTTTTCTTGTAAAAACTGCCTTTGATTTTTCTGCGAGTTTCACTGCAGCAGCTCTTGTTCACCTGATGAGAAAAGCCAGCGACTCTCTGGGCACTTCTCTGTTGAGGAACAGCTTGATCCCCTCAAAAAGCTTCTTCTGAGCTTCCTGCTGTTTCTGCTCCTTCTCCCTGGCCTCCATCGTCTCCAAGTCCTCCTGACGAAAAGCAGTTCAAAGAAAACATTTGGTACTTTGTACAGAATGGAGGATAAAAAAAGTCAGTTTTTTGGAGTCATTGACTAGTTCTTTGAATTCACGGTTGCGCAATGTCTGACGGAATGATGTACACGTTACAGCAGTGAGTTTGACTCATCTGGGAAGATCATCGTGATATTTTCTGGGCCGTTAGAAAGTTACCAATCTGACAAACAACTGGACTCATGTTGTTGAAATGCAGAATAGGTTTTGAGTTCTGAAAATGGTTTTGGAGTTCCTGTAAAACCCTGTTTGGGCACAACAAGCTTTCCAATCTGAAAAGCATCTCGTCCTTGGTAACCAAGCATGCAGCAGTAATCCCCAGTCTCACACCTCCATCAGCTTTGACACCTGAGACAAACATGTGAACCCTCACTTCTGCCTTCAGAGACCAATTAGTTTGTCAACTGTTCATAAGACTTTTCTCACAACCATGACTGTGACAGATAATCACATCTTGTGAATAGATCATATTTTCTTACCTCTTCGACAGGAAACTTGTCGAGTTCAGCCTCCTCCTCCTCTGCAGTGGATACCACCCGTGCCAGACTGGTACTCAGGGAGGACAGTTTCTGCACAGCCAAAAAAACCATCGGCTTAGTTCAACAATCCCGAATTTTGATATTTACATGCACACTTACTCAGCACTACTGTGAGTAACCACATAAAAAAAGTAACAGTTCAGTTAAAGAAACAATATCTTTGACAATGTCCAGAAGAACTTGTAGAACACTATTAATATCTCATCACTTCAAAACAATTGCTGCTAGTAATGCCGTTTTGTGTGTAGAAACCCTGCTTTGCGTCGGGTATAATGAAGTCTTATCTTGCAGAGAAACAATCAAACCACTAGATGTTACCAAAGAGAACAAAGCAGAGTTCATAAAGACATTTGCATGCATCAAAAACAATGCTCATTCATTTTAATGAGGCCACAGAGAGGCGTGTCAAAGAACCTAAATCAATCAATCAATCAATCAATCTCCTGGCAAAGCCGTTGCTACAACAGAATGTGCCATCATCATGAGCAGGTAGATAATCATGTGCAGGCTCACATTCCTGGTTGTATCCTTCGTAACATGAACGGGTTAATTCTTCTCTAACTGGTTATTGTTGTAACATGTTAAACGATGGTAAGATATCTTGTTTAAAATCTTTCCTGCTCGTAATCTTTTCACATAATTTGGAAAATGCAGCTCAGCAGGTTCTAGTGTTTGGTCTGAATTCCCAATCAGGTGTTTACATGTTCAGTAATTTAATGGATTGGCTTATAATGAGTGCGTTTACTAGGTAATGCACAACAATAGCGAAGTGTGTCTTACAGTGATACAAGACAATCACAATGAGGAGAATATTAACGTAGGTTTGACAAAAAGACAACAGTACATGCACTGCATCCTGTTCCAGTTCCAAAAAACCTTTTTGTCCAGCCACCAGTGTTGGCCAAAATGTAAGAAATGGATATAACAAATAAAAGCAAAGCTATCTGTATGGTTGAATACCACTAGAAGTAAGAGTGATCCTTTAGAATGGTTCAAGATAAACAGCCTCACCTCAAGGTAGCTCTCTGAATTCATGGCATAGTCCTCATCATCCTCTTCCTTCAGCTCAGACTCTGCTTTTATGTCCAGCTGCAAAAGGAGGGATGACATTAACACAGTGCAGGTGTACCAACAGGTGACCACATTAATCCTACAACCAAACGGTTATGAACTCCAAACCATCACAATTTTAGATACTTCACAATATTTATAGGCCATATATAGCCACTTGAATCAACGTGAATTTGACTAACAATAACTAATACTGTAACAAATATTGCAGTACAAATTTGGTCTATACCGACCACCCACAATTAAGTGTAAGATAAATAAGGCGTTAAAAATACTAAGTCCATCTATAGAGAAAACCCTGTGGGATAGTTTCAGAGTCCAAGATACCTTTGGTGGGTAGACCAGGTTGAGGGAATGGTAGAGTCTGAAGTTGATGAAGCCCAGCAGAGTGGTGTACAGCTCTGTGAAAGTTGCCATTACTCTGTAGTCAACATCAGTTGGGTGCTGAAAGGGAAAAAAAAACTGAGTATGACTCGGTCTCTGTGGTAAAATTAATGAACACGAGTGCAAACACTAAAGAATAATGTCTAATCCCTGGAGCACACAAAGACCTCAGGGCCGCCAGTGAACTCCTTTCAACGGCCGCCGTTTACACAACAGAGCGACTCCATCACAACACAGACTGAAGTATGTTTTGTGTTCGACAGCAACACTGCTGGTTGACTTACGGAGTCCAAATACTGACAGAGCTGTGTCAACCTCCAGTGTATCCCTTTAATAAAAAGTCCCTGCTGAATGTTTGCATAATCACCAAGGACTGCATTTCATCATTCACTCACATCATGGGAGAACTGATATGGCACCAGCCATGTAACGAGCTGTCCCATCACCTCCGCTTGATAATATATTCCCTTGATGGAGATGAAAACCTGTCAGGAGCAGACGAGAGTTTAGTTCCTTACAGAACAGAGGTCAACCAACTCAATAAATATCAGAAAAACTGCCCCTTTTTATTTTTACGTAGAACAAATAAAAATGGTTGCTGTGCGAAGTGGCACCTTTCTGAGAGAACGGGATGCGATCACATAGTTCATCCATTCCACAGTGAGGCGTCTGCACAGCTGGATTGTCTGAACGTGGCATTTTCCTGTTCGGGCGAAGGTGGAGAAGAGGAAGCCCATGCAGAGCGCATCGTCGATGTCACGGAGAGCATCGATGAAGGAGGGGTACCTGCCACAAACAGGAGCACCAGTGAGGACACAGCTTGAAAATATTATATTTGATATGTTGATTTAAAAAAAGCGTAATAAAACTAATTAATTTGTACTTTGTATTGTAACCCGTCTCACCTTTCTTTGACGATGTGGTCCAGTTTATAGGCCGGCTTGTTCTCCTTCAGTCTCTCCACAGCAGTCCATTCGGTTTTTCCATAAGCCTTCTTAAGTTTGCGTACAAATACCTGTTTTTGGACGATGAGACAGTGTTCACATTTTCTAACATTACTGCAGAAATTCAATTAAACACAGTTCAATTATGATCCTTTTCCAAACAAACTTTCTCATAAGCATGTTCATATAATTGAGTTGAACTTGACACATGGATGCGATACCTTGTAGTCTCTGAACTTGCCAACGATCGGCTCGTGCAGCAGAAAGCGGATGTCTTTGATCAGGTAGAAGGTCCTCGCGGCTGTAGATCCCTTGTTCACCTTCTTCTTGTGCTTGGGCTCATGAGGGTAGATGCCTTTAAGGATGCACAGTCGCCTGAAAATCGGAGAAAGGTTATTTGTCTGCGACACGTCTGCTGTCTGGGTGCGACTTGCCAGTCAGGCACCCGATTCTCAACAATGTTATGTGCTTAAGAGTAGGTTTAGATGCTGTGAGATAATGTTTTTTAATAATTATGATAACTTATTCGCTGTCATTATCAAACAAATGCAATCTAATCTGGTTCCAGACGTTAAATTCTCTAGATTAAAAAAATAAAAACAAGCAATTTGAACACATCATTTTGAGTCGAGTAAAGTTGAGTAGGAATTTGTCCATATTTTCCAATTAATATTGTCTCCAGATTAATAATTTGTGAAAATTGTTGTCAACCATCTTTTTTTTTTTTTTTTTTTTTTTACCGTTTATGCCTGTTAAAATCCCCTAAACATCTCTGGTTGTATGAGAACATTAATGGTGCCTTTGAACTCTATTGTTTAACGCTGACTTTGTGTACCGTAGATATAAATGAAAGGGAAATTGTAAAAATCTCTTAGTATCTAACACAAATCAACAGCATCAAACTAAAGACATCTAAGTGACCATAAACTTGAATCAACACATTTCTAACAGTTTGAACATTTAAAAAGGAAAGTGTAGACCTTCATGGAAGTATGATACATTACAGAACTGTTGCATTCGTGTTAACTGTGTGCACCTAATAAAGTGAGTGTATATGAAATGATGTGCACCATGATTGTGTCCATATCGTCCAATTCTACAATACAATCAACACAGTGAGGTTACCTGAAGTCTGGGAGGCTCAGCTGTAACTTCTTGCGAGCTTTGTTTCTGGTGATGTAGTTGGTGACAGAGCCCCTCTCATACTGGAAAACAAGGACAGACGACCACATCACCGTTATTCACACGAGTCACATTACTTTAATTCATAGTCAAGTTATCTAAACGCTTTGAACTAAACCGCTAATCTCTAACCAACACATTCCAACGTCACCGTTTCAGACAAACAAACTTCGACTAGCTCCGTTAGCTAGCTAGCTCACATTAGCCAGGCTGCTACGTGAGTTAATGTGCCTGAGCCTGACATTAGCGCGACGACAACTCTTACCTTTTTCTTCTGAAGACCTCCCATTTAAAAATAGTATCTGACACTCCACACTGGTTCAGGTAAATTGAATTGTCTACAAATTACGCAGGCACGAGGGGAACACAACGTTCGCTATGTCCAAGCCAAGCAGACGCACGTGTTGTTCGACATGCGCAGATGCGTGGAAGAGGCTGTGAAGGACCCAGCTGAAGGGTCGCCCGTTTGTCCGCCTGTATTAAAAAAGCTGCTCGCTTTTTCTATTACATGTTTTTGTTGTACAGCATGCGCGCACATCCGTGTTTACTGTGTCTTATTAAATTTGACTTGCCATATTTACCAACCTCATGCATATGTATCATAAATATGTAAAATACATTTTACAATCAACACTATATATTGTTACCGTGAAATGTTTTTAACCACCGTCACCTTTTGTGTCTTATAGTCCCAAGAGTTGATTGTAAAATGTATTTGTATGATCAAAACTTGAAATTATGAAGGCACTTGCAAATGACAAGGTAATGCAAAAATGTAAACCACTCTTTGGTGTTTAATTTATCTTGGGTACAAAATTAAACTCATACCCTCTAAACTAAAGATAAATAAATAAATATATTTATTTTTAGTATATATATAATTCATATATATAATTCATATATATATTTCAGATTTTAAGTATGATCATCTAATAAACAACATAAAGCAGTACAATCGTCAGTATAGTGACATGATTCAACCACAGCTGAACCCCACCCTCCCCGTCTCCTCTCCCTCTCTGTTGGTGCCACAGGGATGCTTGATCGAGATGCAGTCTGGAGCTGAGGAGGAACAGTGAGTAAGAAAGAAAAAGCTGTATACAGAGAGACAGAATCACGGAGAATTAAGACTTCACAAGGACATCCCAACATGTGTGAAATATTGCACAAGTTCCTCATGGGGCTACGTGAATTCATAAAGGAGTATTTTCTTGGTTTCTGGGACTATGAGACACCAAAGGTGATGGTGGTTAAAAACACAACTCTTGGAGTCATATACAGAAGCGTCCAGTTTCTTGTGATCACCTATTTCATCTGGTAAGCTTCATGTTTGTGTACTTGCATGCTAAAGGGGACAATCTATGATTGAATTGAAGGATTGAAGAAATATTAAATTGCTTTTTTGTCAGTAATATGCTTTTGTGTGTAAAAAGAGTGTATACTGTTTGCAATTAACTGGAAACAAAAAAATAACATAATGATGGAGATACAATTGATGGGTAAAATAATTTAGCTCTCTCTGTCCATTATTAGACATGTCATTTGAGGAGACTTTGAATTTGTAAAGATGTGATTATTATGTTATTGTTCCAAATCTTAAGCTATTTCTCAGATTAGATGTCTTCAGCGTTATGATTAAAGTGCGTCAGATTTTCTTCTTTTCTTGGCTTCAGCATAGAGGGCTGAACAGATCCAGGGTAATCTGATACCTCCAATATAAATCAATGTGAAAATATGATGTTGCATCTGTTTGCTCTATCCTCCTGAAGGTATGTCTTCATAAATGAGAAAGCCTACCAAGAGAGTGAAACTCGTCCAGAGAGCTCAGTTTACACGCTCATGAAAGGCACAGCAGTTCGTGGAGATGATATCTTGGACACTGTGGAGTATGTTCGACCCTCAGAGGTGAGTCCAGAACAAATGCTGCAATACAATCAAGTATTCTCACCTCCTGTACTCTGTCAGCATCATCACGTCTTTACGGCAGAGTAAACCCCACTGACTAAAAGCATTTTTGTGGCATTTTCCTCACAGGGTGGTGATGTGATTAGTGCAATATTGAGACGAGAAGTTACCTATGATCAGAGGCAAGGAACCTGCGCTGAGGTGAGAGGTTACCAAAAGCTTTCTAAACAAAAACATCTACTAGGATGCAAGAACAGACAATGCTGTAATGTGTCTTATTTCACTTCAGCATTGCAAAGTTACCAATGCCAACTGTACGACAGACACTGACTGTGTCAAGGGAGAAGTTGACTTTGATGGCCATGGTACTGCTTTTACTTCTCACAAAACCATTGTTCAAGCTTTGTTGGTCTGTATTTGCCACATTTTGCAGCTGTTTTAAACACCTTCTTACAGGCATAAGGACCGGCATATGTGTTCAGTACTTGAACCACACCTTCAAAACCTGTGAGATCCAAACCTGGTGTCCTATTGAGGAGTATGCTGCAGTCAGGTAAGACAAATTAGAGATAATCTTCCCCACGTTTGAACGTTCAAGCCAGGTTTGAAAAACCCAAAGGAATAGGAATGGGAAAAAAATCACATATCTCAAACCATGAACAGAATAAGTAAAACCTTAAGACAGGACAAAGCTATATCAATACTTTATTATTCAAGAGAATAATTTTGCATCATTATGCACATAGGTGCACAATTGTGAGCTAAACGCACATCATATAAAGGTTTAAGACAGCAGTTGACCTTTGAAGTATCACTGGAAACAGTTGTGAAACTGTGAAAAACAATTTTGGAACAAATTCCATGAAAGTGATTCAAAATCAGAAAAAAAGATTACATGCTACAACCTGGGGGTCAGGACTGACCCAAAGGGCCACAAGATAAATCTGAGGGGTTTAGAGACGACTAACAAAATAAGAAATCAGAAGACACATATTTCTGCTACACAAAATTACTTTTCTAGTTAGTTGTTGCTTGTGAATCATTGGATGTTTTTAAATCCTAGGGCCCTTTAAAAAAATTCAAATGAAACATTTTTGTAAGAAAAAATCACTCTTTGGTGGAATTGACTGCGAAATGCAACATAGGAGATGGGTTCAGAAGCAGATAAAGCCATCTATTAAGGGTTTGCAAGCCAGTTTGTTAACCACTTGCACAAATGACAGTATAGAAGTAAAGATGGATGTTTAGTCCCCAATTGGAAGTACAACACAGTAACCAATCTAGTTAGTTAGACATGCACATAGTCCACAAGAGTAAAAGTAAAGTGTAAAGCTCTGAGGCTAATGCGCTGCTAATATGACTTTCAGCTGGTTTAATGGCTAGCATGGTTTGCAGTAAACTGAATTAACAAATCAACAATAACAAAACAGTTGAAACAAAAGAGACAAACACAACAGAAAACGCTCCAACAAGGGCATTTGGGAACAAAATGGTGGTGATTATTTAACTGAAACCAACTGAAGGTGGAAGAAACAAGATTACTCTGATTATTTGGTGTCTTCAGCAGAGAACCAGCATTAGAAGCGGCCATCAACTTCACAGTGTTCATCAGGAACTCTATCCACTTCCCCAGATTTAAAGTGCTGAGGTAGAGTACACACACACACACACACACACACACACACACACACACACACACACA